TTTGCTCATGTAATAATGTATTTATGAACATAATTATTTGTTTTAGTTTTTCTTCATCCTAAAGATGATGTACTCGGAGAATTATCTTTACCAATGATCTGTATACCTGTAACCCAGTGTCTTGGTTCAAACAGAATTATGTGATAACAAGGACGGACGGAAGCGTAAGTTTATTTTGTTTTCAAAACTTTTAGTTTCTGAAGTATACAAGTGTTTAACTTTAATTTTAAAGCCTACGGTGGTTTGAGTAAGACCGGATTTGTTTTTGGTTTTAAATAAAATTTAGATATATTTATATAATTTTTCATTAAAATTCATACTATAAGTTGGTTTTGAATTGATGAATACCAATTCATCATTTTAAAGATTCAAGTGACGAAATCTCAATCTCAACAATAAAAGTGATGAATAGATACAATATTTGTTATATTTAAATTTTTCTTATCAATATCATCATCACAATTTGAAAATAAAAAATAATCATTGCTACACACATTACCAATTCAACACAAAGTACTATTCATACTCACATATTATTAACTATTATCCGTCTATAATTTACTGTTTTGTGTTAAATATTTTTATTTTATATTTATTTATAAACTTCTATAGTATTTGATTACTCATTTTTTTATCCCCTCAAAATAAAAAATTTCCAAAAGAATTAGACTAAGTAGTCAGGAATTTCCAAAGGGTGGTGCCAAGGACTGTAAACGAGCCGAGCCGAACTCGAGCATAAGGTGGTGCTCGAGCTCTTAACGAGCAGAGCTGAGCTCGGCTTGTTAAATAAACGAGCCATAAGTCGAGCTCGAGCTCAACTTGTTAAAGCCTTGAGCTCGAGCCGTTCTCGAGCTTTAATGAGCCGAATTATAAAAAATTATATAAAAATTCTCTTTTCGAGCCTTAACTAGCCGAGCTGAGCTTGGCCCGTTAACTAAACGAGCTTTAAATGAGTTTGAATTCGACTGGTTAAGACCTCAAATTCGAGCCGAACTAGACTTGTTTAATTTAAAAGCATTACTTTGTGCCCTTTCTAGTCAACTCCCTTGGATTTTCGGCACTATTGTTACTGCTTTCAAAATTGGAGTCACCTTTGCTTTCCGCCGCAATCTTAGTAGCATATTGTTAACAGCCTAAGCCCACACAGATCTTGACATTTCTATATCGTAATCTCTTGAAAAGTGACGTAACCGGTACATTGACTTCCCCACGCACATATTCATACTCCACAAACATTTTCATAAAAGTTTTGGAATAACAAGGCTATTGTTGGGCAATCATTCATTTTCAACATATATACATATTTTTAAATTGAAATGTCATATTTTCAAAAATATAAATATATGACATTTTATAACATAAGTAACATTATTTGTTAAAAAAAAAATGTGACAAGTCCAACCGCCTAATGTAAGCTGTCTCATACAAAAAATTGTTATTTCAAAAAATATGACAAATTATGGATAGAAACTCCTTGACAAACCATATTAATATAAATTAATTTACTAGAAACTTGCTCACAAAATCATATTCATCAATTATATAAATTATAAAAAGTATGAAAATTTTTAGTATAAAAATTATTCATTTGTTGTGAATCAATTTCTTGGATACAAACATTTTTAGGGGCCTATGTGGCCCCTTCGCAACAAAGACCTCTGTCGCAAGAAACCACCGAAATTACCTGCAAAGGGGGAAGGGGGGAGGGGGGTTCTCTATTTTTTTTTTTAAATAGAACCACCTCAAAGGGTAGTGGATGACTACCGAAATCTAAACGAGGGGTAGTCGTCCTGATCCATCCACACAAAAAGAGTGCGGAGACGTAGAGGAGCGTCGTCTGGGTCAAAAGTGCGCCTCTGGAGAGTGGAGGCACCGAGGCTAGCAAGGTAGTCAGTCGGTCGGTTCCCCTCGCGGAAGATGTGCGAGATCCGGTAGCGAACAGAAGTGTGGATCTGATGTGCATGAGCGGGTGTTGAATCTTCCACGAGCCCTGGTGGGCCAAGGTCAGGAGGGTGGCGACAGCGGCAACATCCAGCTCAATCCAAATGTGAGTGGAGATAGAGGCTGCAATTTGAAGACTGATTTGGAGCGCCTGAATCTCCGCGTCATAGCTCGAGGCGGCCTGAAGAGGGGCGTGGAAGGCAGTAATGAAAGCTCCGCTGTGATCCATAATCAGGCCCCCACCCCCGGCGGCTCTGGTAAGCCGGTCGAAGGATCCGTCAGCGTTCAGCTTAACCCAAGGGGAATGGGGTCTTACCAAACCAACGGCTCTGGGGCGTGGATGCTGGACAGACGGCAGTGGAGGCTGCATGAAGCGGTGAGGCGGCATGCAATTTATCCAGTCTCTAGGCTTGAGTCTACCCATAAAAGTAATATCCCTATGCTTCGCACTATTCTTCTCTGTCTAGATGAAGACAATGAATGAGGAAGCCCACATGTCTAAAGTGTGTGCGCTAAGAAAAAACTCAAGAGCACAAAGAAACTGTCTGTAGTGGGAATGAAATTATATATAGAAGGGATATTTGAATTTTTCGGATTTGTTTCAATTAATCCCTTCTTAATATAATTTGAAAACGTGCTGAGCCTAAATGGCTGCTTCGCACGCTTCCGAAGCTTACTCGACAACATTACATGCTTCGACTTTTGGTTCGGATACATTCCCTAATTGTTTAAAATAAAATACTTAATAAATAGGATTCTTATATGTCGTGTAAATCCTTCAACTTCAAATTCTTATCGTATAATTTGAAAACGTGCTGAGTCTTAATATAATTTGAAAACGTGCTGAGCCTAAATGGCTGCTTCGCACGCTTCGGAAGCTTACTTTGCAACATTACATGCTTCGGCTTTTGGTTCGGATACATTCCCTAATTGTTTAAAATAAAATACTTAATAAATAGGATTCTTATATGTCGTGTAAATCCTTCAACTCCAAATTCTTATATCGTATAATTTGAAAACGTGCTGAGCCTAAATGGCTGCTTCGCACGCTTCGGAAGCTTACTTGGCAACATTACATGCTTCGGCTTTTGGTTCGGATACATTCCCTAATTGTTTAAAATAAAATACTTAATAAATAAGATTCTTATATGTCGTGTAAATTCTTCAACTCCAAATTCTTATCGTATAAAGCTTACTTGACAACATTACATCTTAGGATTCTTATCTTGTCGTGTAAACCAAAATAAAAAAATTTAGCTTTATATATTATTTTATTTATATAATTAATGTAAACAATAACTTTTTTTATATAGTTTAAAATAAAAAAAATACTATAATTTTACAAAAAATATATAGCGACTTGCATTTTATATCTTTTCAATTCAACCATAAATACATTATTTAAATCTTTTTAGAATATCTATAAAAATACATTGAAATAGTTATAGAATATTATATGATCTTTCTAATATATTTTAAAGAGTTGAAATAGTTATACAACAACATATGTATTTTTTCTATTATTTTATATTTTATATTTTTTTTCAAACAACTCGTGTAGTACATGGGTGTCGTACTAGTATATATTAATTTTGAGTAATGTAGCTCCTCATCCTGCCATATATACATAGTATTTAAAAATATATTTTTAAAGTTATAATTGAATAAAACTGGCAACTGGTTCAACCTGTGAAGAAACTAGGGCAAGATAGGTAGCCGTACCTTAAATAGCTGAGAGGCACACAAAAATGGCGTTAGGGCTCTAACGAAAAACGAAGCCGGATTAAAGGGCTGGGCCGCTGGAGCAAACTACTTATCTTTGTACACACAGCACCAAGGTATCCAGTTCATTATCCAATTCTCGATATTCAATTCGATTTGCCTAATATCTCTTGAATCTCAGATCTATTTTCTCAAAGTCCTTTTGTCGCGTGATTATTCAGATATTAATTAATTTAGCTTCTCTTTATTCTGTAATTTGTTTTGCCGTGGCTTGTGAATTTGTTCTGCCTTTTTTTTTNATTGGATAAAATATATATTATTTTTGTAATTTTAGCAGAGCATGGATCGGTACCAAAAGGTGGAGAAGCCAAAAATCGAAACACCCATTGACGAAAATGAGATTCGCATCACAAGCCAAGGCAGGATGAGGAGCTACATCACCTATGCCCTGACTTTGCTTCAGGTTTATTCATCTACGCTCGTGCCGATTAACAGTTCTGTCTATTTAATAGCGCATTTTGCCAAATTATGTTTCCTTTTCTAGCTTTTACTTTTGGCATTGCTGACACACTCACACGTATAAAAATTATTGATCTCTGCTTTTTATTGGTTCAAAAGGTAGATTGAGTTGTTTCGTGGTTTAGCAGATTCTATGCGAAATCCTTTGCCGCCTCATTAATAATTATTGTTCATACAAGTTCTTGTTCGACCTAGGTTTTATATAAATTGTTGTCAGATGAGCACATCTAGCTTTGTTGTATGGATTTTTCTTACCTTTACAGTTGAAGGGAACCTAGTTACATCTATTGGAACTTACTGCTGTAAATAAATTACAGTTTCCCCATCTCTGATTTTCAATTAGATTCTCTATATTTTCATGGTGCTAGATATTTTTTGGAGGCTAACACCGAATATAAGAAAAAGTTGTTACCTTTCAACTATTATGTGCAGCAGTTTAAAGGAAATTTTTTATTAGTCACTTAAGTTTTGTGCAATTGAACTGGTTATATTTTTATTCTTGAATGTTGTCTTTTGATTGTATTTTCTGATCTGTTAAAAGAACTTGCTGCCAAATGCATGGTTACCAATTATGAAGCTTATATTGAAAGATTCATATGCTTAACTGACAGGTTTTGGTATGTACAGAAATATCTGTTTGTAATTTATTGGCTATTTGTTTGTTTTTTCTTGGTTTGGACGAGACTGTTAAACATCATGATGGTTAATTAGTACAAGCATTTTTAGTTTTCATGTACACATCAATCTGATTTTCATGTTTGATTATGTGGAATGAAAAATTTTCAGAGGCTTTAATTTATCCTTGCACCATTCTGTAGGAAAAAGGTTCAGATGATATTGTATTTAAGGCAATGGGCAGAGCCATCAACAAAACTGTCACAATTGTGGAGTTAATCAAGGTCATTTCGCTGAGTCATTTTTTCCATGTTATTTAACTTATCTTTGTCTTATTGGTATCTAAAGATATTTATTTATTTTTTTCCCTTAACTCAGAGGAGAATTGTTGGTCTTCACCAAATCACAGTCATTCAATCCACCGACATAACTGACACGTGGGAACCTCTTGAGGAAGGGCTCCAGACGTAGGAGAATACGATTTTATAGAAGGAACTGTCTAACCTTTGCATTTAAATGTGTACTTTGACATGCTATTTGTTGATTTTGACAGTTTGGAAACCACCAGGAAAGTCTCGATGGTAACAATCACTCTCTCGAAAAAGGAGCTAGACAAGACAAATGTTGGGTCAGTTAATTTATATTTTCTTCTCTGTTTGTGACGTCTAGACTCGAGTCTTAGCATTTGAGAAAGAATGCAACAAACTATGATTGGTTGTAAAGAAATTATATTTCCACGCTTTAATATCTTACATAACTCTATTTTTAAATTCTGATGTGCTCATATTTTTTCTTAAGCAACTACCACATATCATGCGAGTGGGATAATTGATGGACTGTTTATATTATTTAGGTACCAACCTCCGATACCAGCTGACCAGGTCAAAGTTGCTAATGAAGTCGACTATGATGGAGGTGGTGTCGTGTTTTTTAATTCCTATACGTAATAATATATTCCTTCAAGGTCTCATGTTCCAACATATTGTATTTATGCAGATGGGTCTCCTCCTGCCCGAGGAAGAGGTCGAGGTGGAAGAGGAAGGGGAAGGCCAAGACCCCAATCTGGTATTAATTTGATCAAGTAGTTTTTTGATCAGTCAATTTCATTGCAGCACTTTCTTATATTATTTGCCCTAATTGTTTGAATAGGTAATGGTTTTGCATCTGGGGAGTATGAAGATGGAGGGTATGAGAGAAATCGTGGGTATGGGAGGGGTGGTAGGGGAAGAGGTAGGGCCCGCAACTTCCGTGGGCGTGGGAGGGGAGGCTATGGTGGTCCTCCTCCCCAGGTGGAAGATGCTGCGGCCTACGATCAAGATGCACCTCGAGGTACTACGTCTTTTGCTTGTGTTTTATTAAATAAGGGTTTCTCAAAATTTTTCTAGTTTAGATGATGCAGGTGTGGAACCATTTATTTGTTTGCGTCCTCTCGATTGAGAACGTGAAACGTAATGACTAGAATATGGTTCATTGTGTGTGAACGATTTTGTTTGATGAAAACGGAATGACATACAGGGGTTGATTTGCAAAATAAATGTATTTTGAAGAGTGAGAATGCCTTCTTGTGACTTTGTATATTGAGAACCCTTTTATATTTGTTCATCTTGTTCAGCAATATTTTCCATGAGGATATGTTATTAAAAAAAACTAATTTCACTTAGAGCTATACCCTCTCGATAATTGTTAATTGTTTCTAGTCTATGAGATGCTTCTGGAAAACGAAATGGCATACAGGGGTTGATCTGGAAAATAAATGTATTTAGAAGAGTGTGAATGCCTTCATGTGACTGTATATTGAGAATATTTTTATTTTTGTTCATCATGTTCAGAACTGCAATATTCTCCCTGAGGATTTAAGTTAAGACTAATTTCACATAGAGCTATATACCCTCTCGGTAATTGTTAATTGTTTCTAGTCTATGAGTTGCATCTTCAGTGATGATGTTTGTCAGAAAAGTGCAAACTCTGAAGGTGATGCCAATTTTTTTCCCATATCCAAAAGGTTATTTTGTTTTCATGTGATTAGTTCAATCTGAAGGGCAAATTTTTTATTATTCTTATCCATCTTCTACTTTGTACAACCTTTCGTTGCTGGTTTGTGTTATTCATGTTCGTATGTGTACTAAAAGTAACAATGCTGCAGGACGTGGCCGTGGAAGGGGTTTTCGAGGCAGGGGTCGTGGATTCAGATCTAATGGGCCAGTCCAAGCTGCTGCTTGAGTTGCTCAGGTGTTTGAATTTGGGGTTATTATTGTATGAGAAAAATATGATGTTCTATCACTTAATGCCATTTGGCCCCCAAGCTTCTTATGTTATTTCTGTAGTTCTTAGTTTTTTTTTTTACCTTTAGGATGCCGTTTGTAATGATTGTAGACTGACATGGACTGCGCGTGCGTGGTGAGCGTTTTTGTTTATCTTTGTCAAGTAACCAATTATAATGTTTACTAGCTTTTTACTGTAACCTTATAGGTGATGAACATTATTCTTTAATTTGTATGTCTTGTTGGTTGAAACTATAAAAAAACCCAGGCATCATGTTGTGTACTTTTCTTGGGATGGTTTACTGGTTTTCATTCAGTAACTCCAAATTTGCAGTGTTTATGCTTCAAACTATGTCTTAGCTTTCTTTTCTCTGTAGTTTTTTGAAACTATAAAAAGCCTAGGCATCATGTTTATGCTCAAGAAGTGAGTGAAATTCATATTTTATTCTATTTACATTGTTCATTTTTGAAAGTAGAAATGGTCTGCTTATTTTGAGTACCAACAGGCAACATCTTTCCTGCCAGAAGCTCTGCACAAATTTGTGTGATACAAACTCTATTGAAAAGCCACTTTAATGTTAGAATGAGCTAATGACTGATGGTTCTAACATGTTAAAGTTTGTTTTTAGGTTAGATGTGGGGAGTACAGCAAGGAAATCTAATTGTATATTGTTAACAGGGAAATCTAATTGTATGTTGTTAACAGTATATCTTTGTGTAATTGTTCTGTAAATCCAATTGCTTTCTAGGTGAACCTAGTTTTATTTTTGTGTTTAATGCATAAAATTTACAGGTACTAATCGAAATTTGTATGTGTTTTTTGTTCTTGTATATTAAAAAATATGTGAACAATTTTTATATTTTTGTTTTGTTTGCACTCTCCCTTTCTTTATTTGTCAACTAATGACGTTATTTTTTTTTATCTTTTCAAAATTCCTGTTATACATTAGAAATGTTTCATCATATATTGATGAGATATTGAATTTCTCGCGAGATTTTCATGATTATTTATTTATTTATTTATTTGTTTTTCTAAAATTCGCGTTATACCTTTGAAATGTTTAACTATACATTGTTGAGATATTGCAAAATTTTAAAAAATTCAATAAAAAATAATAGTTTCAATAAAAAAAATGATGGCCCTAGCATTCAAAACTACGACATTAAGCATGCAAGGCACCAATAAAATCACTCCACCACACATGATAGATAGTATTTTGTTAGCCATTACAGTTTATTTATAACCTGTATTAAATTAAACTTAAAAAATTAGAATAAATAGTTTAAAATAAATTAAATTTAAAATATTAATATAAATAATTAAAATAATTTAAAATGAAATAAAAATATTTGTAAAAATAAATTAAAAATCTAAAATTAAATTTAAAGTATTAACATAAATAATTAAAATAATTTAAAATAAATATTAATATCAATAAGATTAAAATAATTTAAAATATAATATCAATAAGATTAAAATAAGTTAAAATTAAATTTAAGAGGTTAATATCAATAAGATAAAATAATTTAAAATAAAATATATAATGTATATTAAATGTTCATGGTCGGTTTTGCCAACAAGATTACGAAGAGGTCGTAATTATTTTTTTAAGATAGAAATAGACGAGAAAGAAGATAAGATGGTCGACAAATTATATGTTTGCGTTAATACGTTTGCAACGGGATTTATTAAGGGATTTTTTTATATATTATTAGAAAAACATTTATAATTTATTTATAGTATATTATTTTTTAAAAAAAGCTTTTATTTATTTTTATAATAAAAAATAATAATGTCATTCCATTTCAGCCCTATTCATTCTGCATACCAAACGCATCAATGACAAAACATGTTTCATTCCACTCCCATAATCATTCCATTCCTACCAAATTTCATTCCATCATACCAATCATGCCATAAGTGTTAAACGTATGAACAAAAATATATAAAAGTAGCAAAATCGACTCCAATACAACGAGACTTGGTATCTACTTGGGTCTAAAATAGATTTAAAGGTAGACCTAGTGCACTTGCATTGGAGTATATATTTTTTTAAATTGGGTCTATTTCCTACATGGCATGTATATTTTTTTGAATGAACTCAAAACATTGTGGATGCATATGAATTTATCATTAGACAAAGTCTAAATTAGGTCATACAAATATTAATAAATTACTTTACATATATATTTTTGTTCATATGAAATATACTAGTTTATACTAATTAAAAAATATAATGAACTTTTAACTATATTATTACTATTGTATGTTCTATATGTAATTAATAAAATCTATTCTATTACATTTTTAAAAATCTTTACATATAAAAAAAATTATATGGGCGTCCGAACCTTTTAGAGTATCTCCAATGTGCCTTTTGATATTATAAAAAATCATCCATATCATCAACTTTTGAAAGTGTATTACTAATTTATTCTCCATTACATTATGTCATGATGATGTGGATATACTTTCTAATATCTAACTAGTAATTCATCATGTGCATATGTACAAATTACAAAAAAATAATAATAAAACAAACAAAAAATCAAAAGTTATTTAATAATACGTATCACATTAACTAAGTAATTTATTTAATAATTAATACATCTTAGCTTAATTTTTAAATTATAATAAAAAGATATTATACATGTGAAATTTTACATATATTAATGATAATTGTTGTATGAATATAATGAGTGTTATAGCTTTCTATATATTTTGAACATAATAATAATAATAATAATAATAATAATAATAATAATAATAATAATAATAATAATAATAATAAATTTAGGGCGACAATGCCCCAATTTTACATGTAAATCCGCCTATGATTTGTTGTTCACCATACTAATTCTTGACTTTCCAATGATTGGTATTACCCGTGACTGAGTAATTAACAAATAACCAGTGATTGCAAACTGTTTTTCAGCAATGGCTGTATCTATAACCCTTTATTTTCATTTTGTCCTTTTGAAAAAAAATAAAATGAATCTTAATGAATAAAAATAAGTTATCCCTCTCATAGTCTTTGCTTAAATTGCGGTGTCATGATATCATCAAATGGCGTGGTTATAAAAGGTCAAAATAATGGATATTATTTTTAAAATTTAAATACGTGGATAATTATATTTTGGTACAATTTTCTTCTTTCTAATAACTTGTATACATAAATAGGACAGTTTTATAATTATATGAGTTAATTTCTAGTTCGGGTAGTTATAACTTATATATGTCATTTTTAACGTTTTATCTAAGTTAGGACATTCAAAAGCATAAAACACTTGGATATTTTAATTATAAATAACCTTTATTTATTATTAATTTTTTGAATATGTATATTAGGTAGCTTTTCACGATGTTTGATTTGTCGTATATTGCACATATAAAATGCCATTTTTCAACAAAATCGATTAATCATTTATATCCCATATGTAAAATAAAAATAATTACATTTACCTTTACACATAAAAAGTTATTTGTCAATCATAATTTGAAAATAATTAATGTAATAAATTAGTTAAAATAAGTTTATATAAAATCCATTTGATTTGCAATATTGGTAAGCAAGTATATATACGATATGGTTTTAAAAATATTTATCACTTAAGATGAACGAACGAGTTTAATAGTGACAACTTAAAAAAGAATAATATTTTGTATTTTACAAATCATTTGAATTTGGAAATAAATATTTCTATTTGTATTTTTGTGGTCAGATGTAAATTAGTTATAAGTTTAATATTAAGCAAAAAGAGTAGCCAGTTTGTCAACTAAAACTCGTGAATAATACGAAAAGCACGCACGGGTCTCGGACTGTATGGTATAGTTGGATTAACAAGAGAAAATTTACTTACTTATAATTGTCACCGTTCATCAAGCCCTTCCCCGTGGAGGGCGAAAAATCAAGTGTATAACGACTTATAGGTTGTTTTCAACGTTTTAAAAGCCGTAATACCAGTAATATCTATACCCTTGGTCGGACCCAATTAATTTTCAAATATCATCTATCTATATATATATCTATATCTATCTATATCTATATCTATATCTATATTCTATATAAAGAGGTTGTTGGAAAAATACATTAATAGAAATTTTGACCAAATAAATATAATGTTTGACTTACTATTAATGGAAAATTCAAAAAAACACATGTGAATCTTAAGTAACAAAATCTAAATCATATTTTTTTGGTAACAAATTTGGAGATTTTTATGGAAAAATTTGAATTCTATTTTTTTTTGTATCATATTTTATTTTTTACCAAAATTTAAATCATATTTTTTTTGGTAACAAATTTAGAGATTCTTATGCAAAAAAATATGTCAATTATTTATAAAAACATTTCTAAATACAAATTAATTTAAAAACCGTGCAAACTGGATACAAATTTAGGAAGCAAATAGTTGTATAATTCTTAATCAATTCTTCCAATCTTATTGAATAATTTTTTCTTTCAAAAAAATTGTGTAAATTGGATAAAGCCACATGCAATTTTTATTTTAAAATAAAACTGATATTTGAACGGGATGTACATTCAAAATTGTGTCCACATTTTTTGGTAACAAAAGCGGTTCATCATTGATATTTATAAGTCACCTTATCCAATTATTTAGAAAAAAATTGTGTGCAACTTTTCAAAATTTAGATACATCGATTTTTTTGGATTCTAATGTTTTTTCTTAACCATGTTTTACCGAGATTTTGGTAAGTTTATATCATTTTTTTTTTCTTGGTTAAGTTCATATCATTTTCTTTAGGAAAGAGATAGTATCATAAACATTAACAATTTATTTCAATTTGTTATTAGAATTATTTTCAATTCAATTTGTTTGATACAAAAATTGGTGCAATGTTAGGAAAAATCGGTTGCATTTTTAGGAAAATTTGATGATTTTTTTTATTTGGTTTAAAAAAATTCGGATCAATATGTTTGATAAAAAAATCGGTTTATTGATAGGAAAATCGGTTTCATTTCCAGGAGTAACTAATGATTCTTTTCAACTTTTCTTAATTGAAATTTAGAATTAGATTTAAAATAAATAATGGGTGAAAATCTCTAAAAAATTCTACTTTTTTTTCTACTTTAATTTTGTTTAATAAATAAGAT